ATCTTCCATTCCTTTGTAAACACACATCATTTATCACGATATTACATAAATTAATATTAATACATAGTAATAGACATTAATACCGATACTAATACTATACGATATTAAACATCATCCTAATAATATTACTTTTGATAAATAAATAATTAGTTTCGTAGTTAGGGATTTCCACTTCTTGCACTGAGCGTGCCTGCTTAGTTACTCTTCAATAAAACGTTTCAATAAAGGTCCAACAATATGCATATAGTACGTGGCATTAATATTCGGCAATGCATTATGGCAGATATTGTATTACTGTATCTACAGGTACAATTTTGTTGGGACAAATAGAGATTATATTACCGTATCTACAGATACTTGTCCTACCAAAGCTGTTCACTTGGAACATTATTGTTATTGAGGTTATTCAAAAATTGTCATTCCAAATAATGAAGGAAATTGTTACATGCGAAAGTTGTAAGATATAACGAATGAAGAATTCGCCACTCGATTTATGTAACAGCCGAAATTGCAACATGTACTAGGCTGTGCCGCTACCCACCGATGAATCAAGAGAAGATACAGAATCAATTTGAAGCTCTGTTACTCCAAGAAACAATTAGACCGTCCACTTCACCGTATAACTCCCCTTTATGGATTATATCGAAAATATCGGACGCCCGTTACACTGAACATTGGCGCATGATAATTAATTTTCGTGCACTGAACGAAAAAAACAAAGCGACAAGTATCCACTACCTCAAATTATCGAAACTCTGGACCAACTGAGAGGTACAAAGTATTTCTCAATGTTTGATCTGGCAAATGAATTTCAACGTTTAATATATCTGGTATTAATTCCATGAAATATAAATTCAAAATTGTTTGAATGATATAGTAATCTACTCTTCGGCTCTATAGGAAGTCAAAATTTAAAGATTGTTGAATCATCTCAAAAATCACGGATTTACGGCGTCATTGACGATGTCAAACCAGATCCAAGGAAACTCCATGCGATCGAAAATTTTCTTACTCGAAAGTCAGAATCCAACAATCCAGAATCCAAGGACGTGTAACAATTCTTAGGATTGACAAGTCATATATTATCGTCGTTATCATAGACTACTTTGTTGGCGCAAAATCATTGATTCAACTGTTAAAAAAAGAAATCCGTCTGAAATGAACCGATGAACAATAGAAGCAGTTTGAAAATCTGTAATACTACCGTAAAGGAAGGTTTACATAGAGCGTACCTTCTAGCAATTCGAATGAAGGACCAATTACAGCGCCACGTCTACCCATAGAAAGAGAAAAGTTCACCCGCAAGCAACCAACACAACAACGAAATACGTTGGTGCACCGTTCCTCGAAACCACATGGAAGGCGATACAAACTCATACGATTCATTTACTCTAATAGCACACACAACACTAACCAACAATCATCTCACGTTAAGTCTGAACAATAAATAAAATACTAATCATTCACAGAGGGATCTAATAACATTGGATGAAGGAGAAACCGAAGAAGCTACTTTACTTGAAAATTCCAACCCATTGAGTGAAATAGAGAAATCATGCGATCAAAGCCTGCAATCTCGTCCATCTCCTCAGCTTATAAGAATATAGATCCCACAAATTCTGGAAAGTACTTGAACGCAGTTGAGAAGCATTATTCCCGAATACTGAGAATCTGATCTGAATCTCCGAAGATTCACAACCCGAGGAAGAAAAAGACAATCGCGAACCCTGTAAAATAAACATATTCGGAGAAATATTAAATGTACATATTAAATGTAAACGGTTTCCCTTTATAGCGATACATATTTCTCCGGAGTCACCTGCTAAGGAGAATCTGCGGGAAGGACAAATTATCATCACTACCATTCAGCCGTTCAGAATTTTTTCCAAGAATCTAAAATAAATTTGTCATAAAATATATCTTTGAAGAACTAAAGGACGAAAATTCCTCGTGAGCATCACAGGACCGTGTTTTCAAATTATGGATAATCTCGCGGAATTCACTTTTATGAGTTAAACGTGATCGACAGTTGCGCAAGATGCGGCGAAACAAACTTTACGTAATGTGCCGGTATTAGTTTCTAGTGCGGTACAGGAATCGAGAGCAGAAGAATGAAAGACATGGCGTATCGTACAGAAAATAGAATCTTACTAAACCAAGGGCGACTTTAACAGTACCACTAAAATACTTTGTCATAGACCTTGGTCTCATTGACCAAGCAATGGAAACGATATCTTCAACAGATAAATTTCCTGTTGAAAACAACAACGTGAGTTCGTGCTCGTCATCCATATGCAGATGCGTTAGTTATAAGAAGTAGTAACTAGAAGATAATTCTAGTTACTATCGATAGATTTAACACTAAACCTACCGACATTTCGTGTTACCTATTCCTACCATAGCCAAAATGGCCGCTGATTTAAAAAGTAATAGTTTTTATAATTTAACTTAAATAATGGCTAATTTATAACTGAATGCATATAAAATGATGATTTGTCAGGAAATATCATCCAAATTTACTTTTATTTAATTTCAATTAGAGGCTTAAATAAAATTACACTTTGATATATATATAGGTATCTTATTCAACTCCGCTGTATTTTTTACAAATTATCTTATTATCAAATGTACATTTGGCGCATACATATTTCCCGCATGTTGTACAGGTTTTCGTAGTTTTGTAACCTTTACAGTTTCTTACTTGACAAGTTTTTCGTGATAACGTATCTGAACTTGTTGATAGTTTTATAGCATGATTTTCTTCCCACGATTCTGTATACTCAACAGCGAGCTCCATAGCTAATTGGAATTAAAATTGCTGTCTTGAAATATTTTTATCTGTTGCTTCATTATACAAAATCCAGGCATTTATTCCAGCTAGGACCAAAATGTTGAAAAATACCTGGAGGGGCCACCTACAATATTTTGACCTTACGCCGTATTTCCTTGACATCGGGTCGACTACATCTATTCCAAATTTTGTATCATTATAACATCTAGTCGTTTCCGGTATACGTTTATTGCTTTTTTCAATTTCTATCGCTTTGTGCATGGAACTTATCACAAACATTTTTTTGTTGTTTTGCGTTTATACACCGTAAAAGAAATTTGATTCGAAATATAAAATTTGCTTGAAAACAGAGTCATTTTGTCTTTTCGATCTTTGACTATCTTTGGCAATTCCCGTTTATTTTCACGGATTGTTCCAACGATTGTAATTTTCTTTTGCGAGTAGCTTTGTAGCCAGTGATGCACTCGTAAAAAATTATCTGTTGTTAGGTTCCTTCCACATCCTGAATGGTTCCATCAGCTTCAGAGCAACGAATTCTCCAAATGGAATTGAATTTTCTCTCTTCTCATTCTTTCCCAAATAGGGAAATCCATTTATTATACACTTACTATTGACGTCACATGCCAACCAGAATTTTATGCCGAATTTGTCTGGTTTGTTCGGCATATACTGGGTAAATATACCTAGTCTTCGACGGAAACAACTGCTCATCAACAGTAATATATGCACCAGGTTTATAACACTTTTGTGAATTCTCTATAAATCAGCCCCACACTGTAGATACCATTGCAAATTTTTTGGTTCGTAAACGCTGGCTTCTTTCGCTCTCCTTATCAAATCGTATAAACTTCATAATTTCAGTAAAATCATTCCTGCTCATTGTTTTGGAAAAAAATGCAGGTCCCCAAATTTTATTCCACAAATATGAGACATCTAAGTTCTTTGTCTGATATGCACTGCGGGCGTATAGCAGAGCAATAAATACATCTAGTTTTGTTGTATCTAGCTCCCACTTAGTCCCCAATACTCTAAATGCTTCTTCTTTCGTACATTTTATTATATGATCCCCTGTACGGTGATCAATGATAAGATAAAATGCTGTCTTTACTTGTCCTTTGACTATATGCCGTTTAGCAAATCCTGTCGGACCTGACACACTCCTAAAAATATTATGAACTGGTGTCCTGCCAGGATTGGAACTTGCATCTATTTCTTTCCAAACTGTTCCATCGAGCCCCGTTTCGATACGTTGTTTCTTTACATCAGTCTTACGCTCTGCTGTCAATGATAATTTCTTTCTTTTTTGCTCTGGACGTGAACGCTCATTGATAATATTCTCCTCTTCATTATTGCTGTCTAACTCTGATTCGGTTGTAAATAGCTTTTCATGTATTTCCATGCTGTTTTCAGTTGCTGAATTTTCTTGTTCAACGCACACTGAACAGTCTTCTGCTATGCCCGTTATTTTTTTTAATAATTTTTTTGCAGTCTTGACATTTTTAGGGTAAATATTTATCACAGAATAACACTATGTACGGAATACAAAATTATTGTCAAATTTTATATGCTTTACTATTTCTTTTATAACCACTTTACACAAAACACTCCGAGATACCTTCCGTCTGAGTTATAGAGATAACGAGTTTAGATGTCGACTGATTCACTAAGAAATCGATACGTATCCTGGTCGAAAGAAAGATACCAAGTAAAAACATAGTCTCTGACGGCGATATTTATGTGAAAATATTGATGGGTACTAGCCATTTTCCATCAATGGTTGTTCGAGGGTGGAATTGACCGTTGAACATGGGAAAAACCCACTTTTTCCGTGTTTTGCCGGAATGAGCAATAACCCTAAAAAACTTTTCGTCTTTTAAAATGTTTGTAATAATTGGTCATAAAAATTCTAAATTTTATGACGGTTCCTTAGGGTTATTATATGGGACTGAGTGGCCCTCTTGATTCAGGGATGAATTATGGCTTATGACTAGGTTACGTGTGTAACAGTTCTTATCATTTGTTATTACTAATTTTGTTTGTCATCTGACCTTGATATAGCCTTTTCTTTGCACTGATTATATTTATTTTGAGAATAAATAAAATATTCCATCGAGCGGTCAAATTTACCGCCCACGGTAGACAAGGCAAAGTACAAATTTTTCTTGGAAAAGAAAAAAGCAAACTAGAAATAAATACCGAAAAATGTATTGTATACGTTTTAGGAAAAGTCACAAAATATGAAGCGATTTGATAACATTTAAATATAGTTAAATTTGAGTAGAAGTTTTAGAAGCGGTCTAAAAGACCGCGTCGGTAGTTTTAGTGTTAAGTTGTCTATGTCAGCGCTCTACCATCCCACTAGACGCGGAATAATAGGCCGACGTGCGTAAGTGAGTAACGCCGAGCAACCAGCATAACTCTTCAAAGAGACGCGATTCGAATTGGCGATCGGTCGTTATTTTCAAGGGGATGCCGAAACGAGAAATCCAGGTCGAAAGGAGGACCGAGGCAACAGTTGGCGCTTCCATATCGGCAATGGGAATGGCTTTAGGCCAACGCGAGAAACGTTCGATGCACGTTAGACAATATCGATAATCTCGCGAATATTGCATCACGATAATGTCTAAGTGTGTATGTTCAAACCGGCCTGCTAACGATTTGAACGTTCCAACTGGTGAGCATATGTGCCTGGTGACTTTATTGTGCTGGCACGGTATGCATTGCCGCGTCCACATTCGACAATCTTTGTTTACGGACGGCTAGACAAAACGCGTCGTCTCCAGTTTTTGCGTGGCACGCATCCCCGGATGGAAAAGTCCATGCAGCGACCGAAATACGGTGCGTCGTAGCGATTCCGGTACGAATGGTCTTCGGTCGAGAGATATAAAATATATTCCGACATCTTGATCGGGAAATCGCACCTTTATTAATTGCAACGCGCCAGAGCCAGACTTAATTATTTCGCGCAACTCAGTACCGTTCTGTTGCGCTGCGGCTAGCGTTTAATGATCAACTGATTTCCCGATCGCTTCTATCTGGGATAGAGTATCGGCTACATTGTTGTCTATCCCTTTTATATGCCGGATATCGGTCGTAAATCGTCCGCCGTAGTCAAGATGACGATGTCAAGATGTAACCGTCGAACTCCTGCCTGTTTACATTAGGGGAACAATATCCATTGATACACATAATGTCCTCGACGCTGATGCCAACCACTATCTTGCTGATCAGCGTCTCACTAGACGCCTGTCGTCCATTAAAACGAGTGACCCATAGCAATGCATCCCGGACCGTATCATTGTACCAATACGGTAATTGTTTTTACGGCTCGGATACGATCATTATGTCCACCCTGTTTTCGCACACATATTTAGCTAAAAGATCCTTCGCTAGCCTGCATCTATTCAGGTTAATCTGCAGGACCTTTATCCTCTTAGTACCTAGTCTCCACCCTGACCATCGGGCAGGCCAGCGAGCTCGTAACGTGCCTAACATTTGCACCTTCCTTTCTGGAGCACATCGTACATCTCGGCTCCTTCGTGCACTCCTTCATTGTGTGTTCTCCACTCCCACACCTCCTGTATAGCCCCCTACCAGGACATACCACGATGCATCTCGCCGCCGTATGCCCTAGCATATGGCACCTATGGCGCCTCTGCACATCCGGCAGGTTCCTGGCCGACGCTATATTCAGGCCACTCCTAAATTAAGGGTTCTTTGTGAATTTTTTTTTGTCTTTGATATTATATTAAATTTTGTAATTCTTTTAGCCTCTGCGAAGTCTGGTATACCAAAGGAAAATTTAAAAAAACATAATGCTATTCATGGGAACAGGACGCCGGCAGGTTGAGGCATCAACGCGGTCGTAACACCTCCCGGGCGATCCGAGTACCAACCGCCAACACCAGAGGGCCACTACGACGATAACGAGTCTGTTTATCTCGCTAGCGGTAGAATATACGGGCGCATGATACAAATACCGCATCTAGCGAGACTCCCTCTACGTCTAAGGCAGAGACAACCGGGCATAGCCTTACTGACGAGTCCAACGGTAGTCCCGGGACGAAACGCGCATTCTCTTTTCACACGGCAGTGCCATAACACTGCCAAAATGAATGCAAGTGTGACATCAATCTCATCTCAACCATGAGATATCGACCCCGAGCTTTGGACTGCTTTGGACACATCACCACCTTATCATCATAGCCTACACAGAAGCTATGACACACCTTAGTCCACATCATAGATAAAGGCTTCGACCCCTGACCTTCGACGCATCATCGGCTACACAGAAACTATAACACACCTTAGTCCACATCATAGATAAGACATCGACCCTCGACCTTCGGACACTTCTCCACACCATAACCTACACCTATCTCCTCAACATCCTAAAACCAAAACGTATATAAATCGAGACTTCACCCAGCTCGGGCAGTTCTTGTTCTTCTTCTAGTTGCTGCACTCATACAACCCCTTTGCTCCGGTTCGGTGTTATTCTAGTAAGTATTAACATTTATAATAAAGTTTTATAAAGGAAAATTAGTAGTTGGGTTACGACTCAGCCTTCTTACTACAATCCAAGTACCAACTTTACGTGACACAAGCCTGGATTCATGAGAATAAAGTGATCGTTGATCTCGTTGATCCTGCGGTTGCTCGAAACATATCAAGTAAGTCTAGATATTTTTCAAAATTCGATTAGTCAAAGTTGGAATTAAATTTACAAAATAATTTCTTAGCAACGCAACCTACAGTCGCAAATTCAAAAATAGCGGCTATAAAACGGAAAGGTCGTGAATTTAAGACTACGTCTGATGGCCGTCTTATTATCACAGTAGATTAATGAGAAAGATAATGAACCAGAACCCAAGAGAAAGAAGAAATCTGCACTTTTGTTGCACAGTAATTCGGAAGACGATTATGGTCAGAATTGGGGTTACATTTGGGATTAGGAATTGTAGAAAAATGTAAAGTAATTCAATGAAACAAGTGAACGAAGCCAATGAATTTTTATGTTACATGATCAGAAGCTGATGTTCAGTCTAAGCAATGGAGAAAAACGTAAATATGGCGATAGTTATGATAACGTTAGCGTAAGGAGTGGATCCACATTGAAGTATCAAGGTATAGTAGTAATATATAATCTATAGTAAATTTTGGTCTGTTGTTTAATAACAATTTTGGTATTCATAGCAGGAGGGTCTGGAATATATCGACCATTGAAAAAATCAAGAATAGAATGTATACCAAGAGCAAAATATAAAGCATCAAAGGCTGGAGGTGATGTTAAACGGAAAGGAAAACCAGATCCATATGGTTATGTACCTCTGTCAAGAGCAGCATTATACAAAAGGTAAATAATGATACCATGAATTTTGATTTAAATTGAAGATACTCATTGAATTGATTCATTTTTATCTTTAGAAAAAAGAAGAAAAATGCGAGTAAATGTTTATAAATTTATAACTATGAGAAACTCGAAGTAGCGCGGGCGCAACTGCATATCATATGCGAGGCTGCGAAAATTATCTGTTATAACTCGATTAAGAGCGAGTATGATGAATGTATTGGGTTTAGGTTTGGGTCAGATTTTTCAATGCAACCGTAGCAAGGTGACCCTTGCAACGCTTGCACGAAATAACAACAATAATTTTATTTCATAAAATAACATTACTTATTCGTTCGTCCGTAATTTTTATAATTAATTTGTTGTTATTTCACGCGGACGTTGACGTCCGCCTCGTGGCGGCAGAATTGAAAAATATGAGCCAAAGCTGAACAAAGCAATAGTAATATAAGTTGTAAAGTTACAACAAATTGCATTCTCGCAGCTCAGACGCAGCCTCGCATATGCATATGCACGTTGTGCACGGGGCGTTTAAGCTCGCCCAATCCTCGCTTATAAAAGGAAGATAAGCGGCCGGCAACCAATACTGACGCATACGCTGCCACGGACGCGCAACTATGGGCAAAAATAGTGGTACCGGCCATTTTTCGCGAATATCTCGCCAGCTAAGCGAGTCCACCCATTACAGTAAACAAAGGAGAAGACAGTTGTAGAAAATACCCATACATTCCTACAACATATGCAAAAAATCATAGAAATCGGAGGGTAGGCGACGTTCCTACAGTCCCATCATTAAATGCCCTAAAATTACACATTTATATAATTCATTTAATATACGTAAGATATTTTATAACGAAATATAAAAAAGTTAGGAAATGATAGCCACAAAACCAGTATTCATTTAAAGGATGTCTGTCGATACATTCTCAAAACAGCTAGATAATGATTCGAGAGATTACGACTGCACAAATAAGTAACGATCTTCTGGTGCAATGAGGGAAATACGATCGATGATCGTTCAGCTCTTATACGATGCAAAGGCACTATAAACTATTTGCGTAGTTGACAGAACAAATTGTTGAACTTTGCTTGGGAGATAAACAGACCGAAAATTTCTGTAATTATGACCAAAATATGACTTTTGCAGGAATGATATATAGCGAAATATAGTTAACTTTGAACATACTATATACTTGTAATATCGTGATACAATATGTTTACAAAGGAATGGATGATACAGATGTTAATTGGACAGAAAAGACGATTGTTGTTCAACCTGCACTATTCACGCCAAACGTACAGAAAACAGCACAACTAAATGATTAGATAACGACTCGACTTTCACAATAATGCAATCAACACTCTCTCGGCAACGCCACTCGCAAACTCTGCTTCTCGACTCGCACGCTGCTTCTCGACTCCCACGCTGCTTCTCGACTCGCACGCTGCTTCTCGACTGACTCTCTGCCCGTTCTAGCATTCTATTGTCTTTTGCTAGGCCCACCGCACACGTGTTCTGCAGACGCTCGTGGCCAGGGTCACGTAGGTCTTTTCTACGAAACTATGCACTTGAAAAGACCGATGACACATTGATGGACCCGACGGCGCCTCGGCTCCTGCGACATTGTTCATGGTTCGCCCCATATCTCTTAGGCTTTTCGTCCACGATACTACATACCTTATGTCTAAAAGTATGATATAAATGATGAGATATAAATTATAGATACGAAGAATAATAATCAAATCTAATCTTACGTTTCCATTGATTCTTTGGTTTCACACATTTTACCGACACAATCTTGTAATAAAATTTTTATCGTGTGCGAAGAACCAGATATAACTTCCGATTTGCCCGAAAGCCACAATTGACTACATGTGTTCAAAATTCTTGGTAAAAGAACTGCGCATAAATTTAATGAATTGCTATAAAGGAAAAATACATTCAGCAATTACTATCTCTTCAATAAAATTGGATATAAGGAGTTTAAATATAAAAGTTTGTTTACTGCGCTAAATTTAAATACGCTTCTTGCATTACAGTTAGCCACGATAAAGTTGGTTGTGTATCAGTTGCTGGAGGTTGATAATCATATAAGGCAGTAATGATTTGCCCATTTCTTTGTACTGGTAGAATAGCTTCTGATGGTCGAGAAACGAACAAACCATGAAAGGTTTGTAGACAACATGAAGTTACCAACACATTTCTCATAGTCATAAGCTTCAATAAAGATTCACTGATGGTCTGGAAAACAAAAGTTCGTAATTGTGTAATATAAATATATGTATTTCCTTAACAATTGTTTACAAATACCTTCACATGAATCTTTGGTAAATGATGGAAAATGTCTTTTAGTAGTGCAAGGACATGAAGAACATTTGTAATACCATCGGACTCGGAGTCAAGTTGACCAATACAGAATATTGCAATGTATGGAGTAGCTGTATTTTGTTATATTCGATTGAGTATTGTGTGCGATATGCGCGTGTAGAATTGGAGTATCGTAATTTCGTAAGGAAAGCGATAAAAATATACAGTTGACCAATTTTTTCCAAATTTTTATAAATTTGAGATTTTTTTCGGAAGAGATAATTCAATTCTAAATAAAAATATAAAGATTTACTAACACAATACTATATTACTTACAGATACTAAGATTTATTAATACAAACGTTAAACACAGATTTCATGATATTTATGCTCAATAATTACTTATTTATGCGTGCTAGTATATGAAATTTTCAATTTACGTTATGTTTCCTGCATAAAATCATAAACGCCCGTAAAAATGTTCACTAGCGTATCATGCCTCTGTGCGGCAATGACGAACACTGTTTGATTATAATCACAAATTAGTAGGTATTAGTTCTTGAAAAAAGAATAAAAGATAAAAATTATTATTTCTGACAGGCGCAAATCAATAGAATAATAATGGCAATACAATCAGGATAATAGAATGTATCAATTATACAATAGCGCACTTGAGAATCCAAATACTTCCATATAAAACTTTCAACGTCAATTCTTATAAAATTCCTATAAAAAGATTCGGCAACTTAAAAAAAATTAAATCTATGTCTAAAAAGACTAATCTTCAAAGAAGTGTTCAAAGAAGCCCAGTACTATAGGCGACGCCTCAAAACGCGCAAGTTCCGACGAAGCAATGAAAAAAACAAAAAAGGAAACGAAACCCGAAGTTGCACGTGTCCAGTTAAAACGCGAAAACTCGTCGAGGCATAAAAGATCCAGCAGCTGGATCTGTTCTAAAGACTTCAGAGACTAGACAAAGTGGTAGAACTTCGCTTAAAAGGGTGCAAGATCGTCTGGAATAGAAACTATGTTCCAGGTCAGGCCAGGTGCATTTTTTGTAGTCCTGTCACCGTGTCCCCTTGGTAAAACTTTGAATTAACTATACTGCGTGACGCAACTTTCGTCGCGAAATATCGATCGATTAATTTTTCAAGTTTACTTCCAAATTTGGAAATTCCACACCGCAGACGTGGGCTTAACGATGCAAAAATGTAATTGGCATTTATGGTATGTTTTGCATCTCAAGATGTAATAAACGATAACGCAATACTTCTACGAATCATTACAGCACATGATTGAAAGATCGACGCAAGATGCATTTTATCACTGTTGGATTTTCGACCAATCGCGGGGAGACGCAATCGAAAGGAGAGACGTCAACGGGAGTCGTAAATTCCCGTTACGATTATAATAACCGACACCACGAGTTGATCGATTCCATGATTTCCGTGAAGATAATAGGGGTGATTCAGTTTGTATAACACTGTGATTCACAGAATTATAAATTATATATTTTTCCACTTAAATTAAATATATATCATCGACAATGAGTTAGCGTATAGAGACGCGATACACTGGCACAATATTCGTTGAGGATAGAGCAAGGCTCTTAGTTTTGTTATAGTTGATTAACCCGTTACGGACATGTTGACTTTTCTAGCGGTGTAGAAGAAGTCGTTGACTTGACTCTCCTGAGGTCGTAGGAGCAGTCATTGACTTGACCCTCCTGAGGTCGTAGGAGAAGTAAGGTACAGTGACGATGCTGTGTCGTAGGAAAGCTAGTGATGGGTGTGTCTAGCACACGGGACCATCGGATTTGTTCATGACATTTTTGGTCAGGAAAGTGAGGGCAGTATACATTGCTTCTGATTGGATAAACGAAGGTTGGTGGACTAGGAAGGGTCTTAAACGTCTTCGATAGAAAGTTGCTAGTGGGAAGCATCGTACGTGAGAAAAACTAACTTTCCCGTGTCAAGTCGTAGTAGAGAGTCGAGAAGCAGAGCTTGCGAGTGGCGTTACCTAGAGATTGTTGATTGCATGTTTGTGAAAATCGAGTCGTATTGTAATCATTTAGTTGTGCAGTTCGCTGTGGAGTGCCGAAGCGTGCAGACG